GTTACGTTACGTTTAAGTTACGTTACTTATATATATATATATATATATATATATATATATATATATATATATAAAGCACCATACACNCAAAATAAGACACATAGGTACCATAAAATTGGCAATATAAAGTAGAAGCATGCATCATATTAAACAGCATAATCCCAACTAGAAAGCGATCATCAGAAGTTAAAATGAAACTTATATAAATAATACACAAATAAAATTGGTACATTATGAAGTAATTCAAAGGCATAAAATTTCTCTTACAGATACAAAACTTAGCGAGCTCCGGCACGCCGAGTGCGTTGCATCTCCATCAATTGCTCAAGAGAGACAGCAACCCATCTGTCCCCACTTTGGGCGAAGATCAGTTGTTTCACAGAATCCACACAAACACTAACATTTCCAAAGCCATATACCTGAAGCCCATCATGAGTACGACCAACCTTAGGCAAAAATTGGAGGTTATTGTCTTGAGCATAGGCTTCAATAGCCTCCTTTAAGCTCATTTCAGGCACACCCATGTTGTCCATATGAACACCCGAGGCTCCCTGATTTTGCGCAAAAGCAGCAGCTTGCTGCTGAGCCTCGAATTGCCTTTGCTCTGTAACCCTAAGATAACTGATGTTCTCCCTAACCCCTGGTTGAACAACCACCATTCCTTCCACTGCTTGATTCATCATATTAAGACCCACATTCAACTGAAGCCTTATTCTCTCATTTGCAAGTAATTCTTTTGGAAAAAGGTCCTTCCACCCCAAATACCATTGGGTCACTTCCTCAAAGTTGGGGTTTGAGCACAACCAGTGATACAAAACTTGTTGCCATTTTGTGAAGAAACCTACTTCTAAAAGGTTTACCATGTGATGAATGGGTATGGCATTTGCCCATGACATGACCCAATAAAACTGATCCAAATTTTGGTTTGCTGGATTGACCTGAAACTCTTGTAAAACGCTCATTAGTTTGGGAACTATATAACGCACAATCAAGCGTTCCCAACTAATGGGGTCAAAGACTGTTCTCCAGGGAGATAGAATCGCATATGCTGATGCATCACTAGCATGCCATGCATGCAGAACATTTCCAAGCTTAAACTGAATTGGATGGTACAAAGGCTCCAGTTTGTCTCCTAAAAGTGGAAGCCATGGATGCAACCATGCATGTATGGGAACAGTTTCTCGACGTGGATCCCATGAATCAACAGCTGCCGATAATTTGGGCATTACCATATTAATAAGAATTTCCTGGAGAACTTGTGGTGGCAAAAGCTTATCCCAAGACTCCAAGAATCTTAACATGGGTTCAGGGTCTCTAGGCTCCCATGAATTTGTTGCTGCAATTCTAATAGCTGGGAGAACAACTTCCCTTATCAACTGTGCATAGGGTGATGAAACACCAAGCTCCGAATCAGTGTATACACCACCATAATCAATTGCATCATTCCCTTGTAACAGCTCCTTCCAGGATGACATAACCTCCACCCCTTGCAGTGGGTTCAACAATGGTTGCCAACCCTGAAAAAGCCGAATCATCAGAGGTAATGCAAATGCACAGGCAATGCAAGACAGATTACCCAACTTGTAGTCTTCTTCGTATTGGCTCTGCAACTCACTGAAAATTTTAGAGAGATAATCCAATGTCAAAGTCCCAGCCAAATTTGCTTCCTGAACCTTATCCAAAGCACCCAAGATACCCTCCATATTGTCCATTTGCTTCTGTTCCCGAGCTTCCACCTCCTGAAGCTTCTCTTTCTCTCTCTGGAGAGCCACTACTGTCTCCCTCTCTCTCCTCAAATCTTTATCCAGCCTCTGAATATCTGCTTCTGCTAAGTCGACAATCAATCTTACATTGTATTGAAGTTCAGGCATTGGTATCTGGTTCTCTTTAGCAGTCTCTTCAGCATTCAAATTCTCGAGATTCGTCAAAACCCTAACTTGAGGACCTCTCATATCCAAAACCTTCTGAACCATCTCGAACCCCTGTTCTTGCTTCTTCGCTAACAATTCGTCAGCTGTCACATAGTCTTTCTTATTGATCCTTGATCGGTTTAGCTTCAACCAAAGCTTATCTCTGGAACGAATATTGGGCTTTACAGTCGTTGTAACATCCATTTTTTCATCTAATCCTGGTAATGGGGCCAACCCCATTGACTTCTCCTCGTAAGAATTGTAACCCATTCCCATATTTTTGGGTCTAAGCTTGGCTTCAATGGGGGCAACAATACCCTGTGCATTTTTTCCAAGTCCTCCTCCTTTGTAACCCATTTTCTCGAGCAATCTCATACCGATCCCCTTTGTATGCTTCTCGAACTCCCCTACATCTCCAAATTCCCCTTTTACTTTGCTTGATTTCATCTTCCCCTTTGACATCTCTCTCTCCCTTTCTCTCTCTCTTTCTTTCTCTCTCCTCTGCACCCCTTCTTTAATTTTTCGCCCAAATGCAGTAGGCAGAAAATTGTCATCACCACCATCTCCATCACCATTGTCCTTGTTCTGACGACTAAAACCCAACCCTAATCCTGAACCTCTCTCTTCTCCATGAGAATCTGACACAAACCCTAGCCCTGAACCTAACCCCCCATCCTTTTGTTCCATCCCTAGACCCATCCTCTCCTCACTGTTTTCCTCGATGTTTTGGTCGATTTCCTTAGAGGGCATCACAGTACCAGTCGAAACAAAATTGACTGGTTTTGTGAGATCTGCCCGCTTTGAAACTCCATCTCTTCTGCGTTTTTTCGAGGATCCTTCATCCTCTGATGAAGAACCAGCAAATACACCAAACAAAACATCATCCCTTGTTTGATGGCGCTTCACTTTCCGGCTCTTGTAGTAGAATTCGCCACCAATCCACTGGCCGTCATCGTAGTCGTTGTCCATGGAGAACCCCTCCATGTGCTGATACTCGTCCATGGTGTTTACACAGAGAGAAAGATATATAGGCTTATAGAGAGTAGAACTTTCCAATAGAGAGGAAAAGCTGTGCAAGTCTAATTAACTCGTTCTAGGTTTCGAAACAAAGGGATGGTACTGCTGGTTTTAGAGAGAGAAAGCTAGGGTTTCTTACGTTTCTCACCAGTGGTTTTAGAGAGAGAAACGTAGGGTTTCCTGGTGAAAATAGAAATTGTATAGGGAGATAAATTAAGTATTGGATTTACCTATTGCCTTCTTGAGTTGAAGATAGAGTTGAGGAGTTGCAGACAATCCTCGATGAGAGAGAGAGAGAGAGAGCGAGAGCCCACCAAATAACCAGAATGGTTTAAAACTTTAAACTTTAAACTTTAAAGAGAGAAGAGAGAGAGATTACCGAATCACCAAGGGGATTTAGAGAGAGAAAATAAATATAAAAGGTGTATTACATGACCGAATGGCGTTTTCTATTCAGAAACTATAAATAAAGGAAAAAAATTATATAGAACCTAGGCTTTAAACAATCAAAATTAGAGCTCACCTCGCATAAGAAGCGGTTGTTTTGATGTCAAATATCTTCAAATTGATAATCTCAACATCAAGATTTATGGACATGAGAAAAACATGGATTTCAAAATTTAAAAATAGCTTATCTTGTAATGTATTTTGGATCATTAATTTTTAATATTTTTAAATTTTCATATATCCACTTGATCTACACTCTTTTTTTAACTTTAAATTATATAATTATAACTTAAAATAATGTTAATATTATCATAAAAATTTTCAATATTAAAACCACATTTCTCTACACTATTTAAATGTGGGTTTTGCTTTTATTGTTGAGAGCCTCGACTCTATACAAACCGCACCCATAAATAAATGGTGATAATTTGTTAAATTCTTACCCTTTGAAGTGGTATATTTTGTAGCGTATTTTTTTACTTTTAATTTTCAAATTTTTCAAGTTTTCATATATTTATTGATCTACACCGTTGTTGAAGCTTTAAACTTTATAAATAAGGATGAAAATATATTTTAATGCTATCATAAATATTGTCAGTATTGAAACCACATATGTGTGACACTATTTGAAAGTAGGCTCTAATTTGATTGTTTTGAACCTAAGCTCTCTACAAAAAGTACCCTTAATATATTAAAATAAATAATAATAATAATAATAATAATAATAATAATAATAATAATAATAATAATAATAATAATAATAATAATAAGAGGAAAAGAGCCCAAGTTTAATTGGTTTGCACTTAACAAATTGCAAGGCTTAATTCCTACCTAAAGTAGGGGCCCTCTTCCCACTTACTCACCCTCACCAAAAAAAAATGGTGATAAATAGTATTTTTATATAAATTTTCAGATAAATATATGCTAACATCTATTGATCTTTTTGGAGTTAAAAAAGTCCATCCCCGTAATTTTCCGTTGTTTGTTTTTTTCAAAGCCAAAAGATATTATACTACCGTAGAAATATGTGTTTACAACCTTATCTAATATTAATTTTTGGGCCTCAAATTAAGGGCATGTAACCTCTTCAACTAATTCATTGATTAAAAAAAATCTTAATCCACCCTCTAATATAAAAAAAAAATCTTAATCCACCCTCTAATATAAGAAAAATAGTGTTTCAATATTGCACAGAGACCGTCAAATTTCATAGAGTAAGATCTAAGTGTTATAAAACTCAAAATTCAAATTTTATCCTATGAGACGCACCTAGTTATTAGATGGTGCCCAACATTTTATACGTACCCTTTTTTTGAAAGGGTGCGGTTGTATAGAGCCTAGGCTCTAAACAGTCAAATTGGAGCCTACCTTCGGATAGTGTTGAGAAATATAGTTCCAATACTTGAAATATTTTTGATAGCCTTAAAATATATTTCTATCTTTATTTATAAAATCTAAAGCTTCAAAAATAGTGTGAATCGAGATTTCTATAAAAACTTGAAAATCTTGAAAATTGACGGTAAAAAAATGCGTTATAAAATGTACTATTTCCAAAACATGAAATCCATTTTTTTCTCATGTCCATGCATCTTGATGTTGAGATGATCAATTTGAGGATATTTGGGCATCAAAACAACTTATTCTAGTGAATGTTTTGAGGTGAGCTCTAATTTGATTGATTGGAGCCTCAGCTCTATATAAACTTTTCCTTTTCATTTATACTTTTAGTATGTGAACCAAAACTATTGAATGATGTATTTCGAAAGGTGGTAGGGATTTTAATAATGTGAATTGCTTTTGGAAAATTGTTTCCTACGAGCTGGATCGCATTTCTACAATATGCGGTCAAGATGTATAAAGCATCCATCTTAAAGATGGATGTAAAATAGGTGGTCCATTTAAAAACATTTGTAACTAGCGATCCAAATACTTTCTTAATATAATTATTTTTTTTAGTTTTGAATTTATTTATTTACTATATTCATGATCTCCATGTTAAATATTATATATTATCTAAAAATTATAGTCAAATCATATTTAAAAACTATAGTGATTGCCAAGCTCGCATTTCTACAATATGCAACCGGCTGCATAGAAAACGAGTCCTTGCCTTTTGTAAACACGTGGGTTCCAACTTCCAATTTTGAAAACCCAAATGGTTTTATATAAGGATAAAAGTTAGATAGAGCTGAGGCTCTAAACAATCAAATTAGAGCGCATCTCAAAAATTTCATTAGAAGAGGTTGTTTTGATGCCATCAAATATATTCAAATTGATCATCTCGACATCAACATGCATGGATATTAGAAAAAAAAATGGATTTTAAGTATTGGAAATAGTGCATCTTGTAATACATTTTTTGACCATCAATTTTCAAGATTTTCAAATTTTCATAGATCTGTTTGATCTACATTATTTTTGAAGCTTAAATTTTATAATTAGAGATGAAGATATACTTTAAGACTATCACAAAGATTTTCAGTATTGAAACCACATTTGTTAGTACTATTTGAAGGTGTGCTCTATTTTGATTGTTTAGAGCCTCGGCTCTATGCAAACCCCAACCTTGAAGGGTGGGTTTTGCATAAGGTGGAACCTTAAATAGTGAAAGTAAGGCACACTCTAAATTTTCTTGTCACATGTAATTTTCATGTTGAAAATTTTTACGATGTCTAAAAATCTATTTTTATATCTAATTGTAAAATTTTAAACTTCAAAAATAGTTCAAATAAAGCATATATATAAAGACTTGCAAATCTTGAAAATAGGCAGTCCATACGTTGTGTTACCAAGATGTAATATTTTAGAACTTGAAATATTTATTTTTCCATATTCATGCATCTCAAGTCAAGATGATCAATTGGAGGGCTTTTAAATATCTAAATAATATTTTTCAATAGATTTTTTGCGGTACACCTTACTTCTATAATATAAGTTTCACACCTTATATAACTTTATCCATATTTGAATGGGTTCTCAATTGAACTTTTCCCAAAAAATTGATAGAAAAAACTTATGTGAGTCAATCCGCTGAACCAAGAATGTCCACCTCTAAGATGGATGTTGTATAAAGGGCATTCCCCAAAATTATAAATGAATGTTGTAAAAATAATTCTTACTAAAATTATATTTTAAATTTTTAATTTGAATTTTACTTTTTTATTATTCATTATTATCTTGCTCTAGATCATAAATCCCTAAACATTTAGAAAAAAAATCCATCTTTAACGACTTAGAAGCCCCAATCAAAATTGATAGAGACATGCTTCATTAGGCTCAATTTAGGCATTCATTAAAATTTTCTAAATTATTTATTTTTGGAATTTTTAGGGCGCAAAAGGGGATGGACATAATTGTAATATCAACGAATAAAGTAGGGCGGTAGGTCATTTTATCCGGAATTAAAAAGAAAAAGCAAAAAAAAGCGGGAAAACAAGAAGTGGAAAATAAAATATTATATTTTTATCGTGTTTGCTTGGTTGGAAGGCCACTGTCTCTTCTCTCAATCGAATGAAATTAGGGCAAAGAGTTTGATGGTAATGCCAATTCGGTAAACATTATCCAATTTTCATTTGATTTGAAATTTTTCTTTTCATTCGATTTTATTTTGTTTCTCTTTTTTCTGTGTATTAGTATTAGAAAGTGGTAGGGATTTTAGTTTGAATTTGGGTTTTTAATTTTCGATTTAAATTTATTCTTGTAAGCTTGATGAATTGCATGAGAACTGTTATTGATTTTTTTTGGGGGTGTGGTAAAATGTTATGTAACCAATGTTTAATGAGCAGGAAATCAGAAAATGATGTGCAATAGTTACAATTCTATTTATTGGAGTCGAAAGAACAACCGAAGAACAATCGATTCTTAGAATGGGCTTGATATATTATTTTTTCCTGAATAATTGATTTTTTTAGGTGGATATTATGTTTTGTATGGTAGAAATAGGAAAAATGCAGTGTAAATGCTGATAAATATTTTTTTCTGGTAATTTATTTTTAGATGTGAGATATTTTTGTTTTTCTGCTTTATTTTTGTCTTAATCTCTTAGAAATTGTTTCTGGGGTGGGGAAAGTACACAAAAATTCAAAGCAATTGTGCTTGATTTGATTAAGGAATTCATTCCACAGCTATCTGCTTGCTCTAACGTTCCTGTTACCACTGATAATTTGGGGAAAATGAAGGGTTATACATTAGCATATTCAGTTTATTAAATTTTAAAATAATTGCAGGATAACTGTTAGTAATAATGCTCTGATTAATCACTGCTTCTTCTATGTTTATGTGATTAATAGGGTCTTTGTTATATTATGTTCAATTGTATATTTCATGGAATTGTAGTATATTAACAAGACGTTGTGCATGATATCGAGTGTTCAACAATTAGGACTCGGGCTCCGTCTCACCACGGGCCTGAGCTTGAGTCTTCCCTATCCGATTCAAATGAGTCTGAGTTGGACTAGGAAAGTTTGAATTCATCATCATCATCATTCAAGCCTTATTCCAACTTCTTGGCGTTGGCTATACGAAATCCTGTTCCGCCATTTTGCTCTACCAAGGGCCATACCCTTAGTAAGGCCACAAGTCACCGTGTCTCTTCTCATTGATTCTATCCATGTCCTCTTGGCTCACTGTTCCCGAGTTCCGATACAACATGTTGCTTATATGGAACGCCCTAGGATGGGCATATAGGATAGATTTAAGATTTATGAAGACGTGGCAAAGTTTTATGCTAGCTGTTAACACAACCCTTCTTTATCTGGGCTTGGGACCGGCATGACTGGCTTGGGAGATGGTGGAGTTGGAAATTTTGAATTATAAAAATTAAAAAAATACAAAAAAGGGGAGGTTCGGGCTATTCCTGCGTTTTTCGGCCTAGAATCGCCTAGCCTATTTGGCTGAGTCTCGTGTCGGACTGGCAATACTGTAAACACTGATTATATCTGCAGCTATTAGCTTATGATAGTCGTTTGGTAGCTGAATTGTTGCATAAAACAGTTTTGAGAATCAATACATATGTCCATTCTTTTTGTTTGCTCTCCTATACGTGTATCTTTCTTGATTCACATACACGAACATATATGAATGCCTATATAGAGATGTGGTCATGGATATGCAAACACAAACTCAGATTTGAGAGAGAGAGAGAGAGAGAGAGAGAGAGAGAGAGAGAGAGAGAGAGAGAGAGAGTAGTAGTT